TCTTTTAATCTAGTTTCGTTTACATCTATTAATCTAGTGCTTCGTTTACATCTATTAATCTAGTGCTTCGTTTACATCTATTTTTCTAGTTTTTTTCGTTTACATCTATTAATTTTTTTTTTTGCTTCGTTATCTAGTGCTTCGTTTACATCTATTAATCTAGTTTTCGTATACATTCTATTAATCTAGTGCTTTGTATACATCTATTAATCTAGTTTTTTTTATACATTTTTAATCTAGTGATTTTTTTTTTTTCTATTTTCTAGTTTTTTTTACATCTATTAGTCTAGTGCTTCGTTTTACATTTATTAATTCTTTTGCTTTTTTTACATCTATTAATCTAGTGCTTTTTACATCTATTAATCTAGTTTTTTTTTACATTATTAATCTAGTGCTTTTTTTTTTTTTTTTTTTTTTCTATTAGTCTAGTGCTTCGTTTACATTTTTTTAATTTTTTTAGTGCTTCGTTTACATCTATTATATCTAGTGCTTTTTTTACATTATTAATCTAGTTTTTTTACATCTATTTTTCTAGTGCTTCGTTTACATCTATTAATCTAGTGCTTTGTATACATTATTAATCTAGTGCTTCGTTTACATCTATTAATCTAGTGCTTTATTTATATCTATTAATCTAGTGCTTTAATTTCTATCTATCCCTTCCCTATATTTTATATTCATCTGTCAGCATATGCCTATGTTTTATTTCTCCCTCTATTTTAGATTTCTCTATCCGTCCATATTAGTTCCATTTTTCTATCTCTCTATTGTAGATTTCTCCGTCTCTCTCTATCTAACGAACAACGCCTGCTGTGACCCCGTGTCCTCCTCCTCCCCATAGAACAGACAGTTCCTCATACCTTCTTCAGCGAAAATCTACCTCCCTCGTACCTGTGTTGTCTTGAAGGGCGGGGCCCAGTAGCAGTGTGCCAATAAACATCTCCGTATATCCGGCATCTGGAGGGGACACACCCTTCTTTGCAACAACTGAAGTTGGGCCACGCCCTTCCACCTGCTGGCACGTGTCAGCGACTCTCCCGCCACAGCGAGTGTTGCAGGCGCTCCTCATACGAGTGTGTGGAGGGCTGTGAGGCGTATTCTCCTGTGGCCAGGTACGTATGAAGTGTGTGAGGATGACGGGGGTATATTATGCCGGGTTATGTAGAGGTACGGGCTGTGCGCTGCTCTGCACGCCGATATGATGGGGGGGCGGGCGCTGCTGCTGCTGATGGCAACTTCAGTCACCCATAGAAATGAGATGTTTGGTAGTCCGAGTATGATGTGTTCATGAAGTGTAGATGTGCTTGCAGCATGGCGTTACTTGTCTATTGGAGTGGGGTTGGATAGGGAGGTTGGTCGGTACGGATTGGGGGGGGGGGGGGAGGGGGTTAGTTAGTAGGGATTGGATAGGGAGGGGGTTTTGTTGATAGGGAGGGGGTGGGGGTTGGTAGGGATTGGATAGAGGGGGGGGGGGGGGGGGGTTGGTAGGGATTGGATGGGGGGGTTTGGTTGGTTGGTAGGGATTGGATAGGGTGGGGGTTTTGTTGATAGGGAGGGGGTTGGTTGAGATTGGATAGAGAGGGGGTTTTGTTGATAGGGAGGGGTTGGTAGGGATTGGATAGGGAGGGGGTGGGGGTTGGTAGGGATTGGATAGGGGGGGGGGGGTTGGTAGGGATTGGATGGGGGGGGGGGGTGGGGGGTAGGGATTGGGATGGGGGGGGGGGGGTTGGTAGGGATTGGATGGGGGGGATTTTGGGTTGGTTGGTAGGGATTGGATGAGGGGGTTGAGTTGGCCGGTTGGGATTGGATGGGGTTGGTTGGTAGGGATTGAATGGGGGGTGAGTTGGCCGGTTGGGATTGGATAGGGGGAGTATGGCTGATAAGGATTGGATGGGTATGGCCCGGTTGGGATTGGATAGGGGGTATGGCTGGTTGGAGGTGGGGAGGGAGGGTTTAGTTAGTAGGGATTGGATGCTGTCCCTGTGATTCATGGGTGATGACAACCCCCCAGGATTTGATGTATATGAGCCCAGCGTGTAGCCTACAGACCTGACGTAATTTGCAGTTCTATTCTACGAGAACTCCCAACTGTCGTCCTGCCTCATGCAGACAGGTGTCAGGTGTTGGATGTTTGGCGCCAATATCTAAGCAGACGTAGAAGCATGTAATGCTTTTGTATGGCAGGAACACGTTCCACGTTAGGTGTAGGTGCATTCAGCTTGGAAGCCCTGGTCCGACTGGTTCAGCACTCTAACCTAACATCTTTAACCTTTTTCTTGGCTACTCTAAAATGATCATTTTGTGGATCTAGTAGGATTGTTAGGAATTAATCAATATTTCTTTTTTTTTTCTCTTTATTAAACTTTACCGCAGCACCTATATTGTGATATTGTGTAGCTTTTCACGTGTTTGTTTTTTTGTAACTATTTGTAAAACGAAATAAAAATGTATTATGGAAAAAGTGTATTCACAAACTGTTTAGTCTGGTTTTAAGCAGCTAAATCTCCATATATTAAGGGCTCGATGGGCGTGTGCTTGCGTGTCCTTTTGCTGAGTTTAGTCCATAGCCTGGAAGGCTCAGGTGCAGTGTACAGCCTGCTTCCATCAAAATCAATGACAGGCTGAAATATGGGGTGGTTGTATGCCGTTCTGAGTGATACTTGTATTCTGGTATGTATGTAATTACGCATTCAGAGCATAAAAACAACGTACCGTTCAGAACAGCTTATGGTTCCCATTCATTTCATCCCAACATTGATTGTGATGGGACTACTGGCAACAGGCTGCATGCTACACGTGAGCCTTCCAGGTGATGGAACACACTTGTTTGTTATACGTGGAAAAGCGCCCTTGTGCATGAACCCCCAAAAATGCGTAGATCAGGGGGTTCAACCCCCCCCCCCCCAATATCCCAAGAGCACCCTACCAAAAATCAACTACATGGTGTCCCTGCTGTACTGCTTGTTGCTGGTGCCGTGTGCGGCTGGCAGCAGAGCAGGGACACCATGCAATTGATTTCTGGTCTGATCCCAGCAGCAGGCAGAGACGGCTGCTGTGTCTCTACACACCATTGGGGTCTGGATTGGCACCGCCCACAGGGCGGTGTGTGCTGTCAGGCTTGAATTGGGCCATGGGCTGAGGGAGGAAGCTGTTGGCTGAGTCTGGACTGTGACGCTCACTGCCTTCTCACCCCCATCCAAAGCAGCACTGAGCAATCGGGAGAGTCTGTCCCGCCCACTGCCGCTCTATTGCCATTGGCTCACTCCTCCATTCAGTTTCCTTCTGGTTGCCAACTGAGCAGAGGGGGAGTGGCTGGTGTTTCCCCCGCCCACCAATCTATTGCTATTGGATGCAGTTCTGCTTCCTGCCTTTGGCTTAGAGGAGATTTGCCTGGGTCTTCCACCAGTGCAGAACACTGCCTGCCACATGAAGTGCTGGCTGCTGCTCTCCTGAGTCCTCTCCAGTCAGTCCAGACTACAGGTGTGTCCCTCTGTCTCTTGTCCTCTTCAGGGCCAGGCTAGCTTACCACTGCTGTGTGCTGCTGGTGAATTTCGTTCAGAGTCTGAGGTTGTGTGGGAAGTGAGAAACCAGCAAAGTTGGTGATTGAGGCCGGGCTGTCTTCCACTGTTACGTTAGGTCCTGAGCATGTTCATATCTAGTGATTTGGGATCGTGGGCAGAATCGCTGTGATTCTGCTCGTGATTCCAAATCACACTGCAATGGTGGAAAAACGCAGCACACATGACATGTATGTGTTCCATTTATCTTTAGAGGCATCAAAATGTGGTGTGGTTTTGTTGAGCTTGTTAAGCGATTTATCACACAACAAACATTCCAAAATCACACCGCATTTTGAGTTGCCACTAAAAAATTAATGGAACACAAATGCGTCACGTGTTGTGATTTGCCAGTGCCGGCATTGTAGTGTGATCTGGAATGGTGGACAATCGTGTCAATTGCACATAGCACACAATCCCAAATAGCTAGATGGGAACAGGGCCTTAAAGCGGAGCTCCTCCCAAAAGGGGAAGTTCCGCTTTAAGAACTGCAACCCCGCTCCCCATTAAGGATTAGCACTTTTGGGGGGAGTGGGTATCTGAATTTGACAGGTACCTGCTCCCATTTCTGGTCTGATCGCCTAGCCGATCGGAAGCGGAAGGTGTCCGCCCTCCCTCCCTTCCTGTAGTCTTTTGGGACATGTGACAGGTCCTAGAAGACTACAGGACCATTCATGAAGAGCAGCGCTACTCACGCATGTGCAGTGGGTACCAGGCTGTGAAGCCACAAGCTAAACATAGCCGGGTGCCCACACTGAAGATGCTGGCCTCCTGGAATCCAGGATGGCCGGTGAAACGGGCTGCAGGGGACACACCGCAGGACCGAGGGAAGGGTAAGTGGCTGTTTTTTAAAAGTCAGCAGCTACAGTTTTTGTAGCTGCTGACTTATTTTTTGACAGGTGAGTGGAACTCCACTTTAATGACAGTGACTGAGGCTGGGCTGAGTCTTCCAGTGCTGTTGCATTAGGTCCTGGGCCAGTTCACATCTATCGATTTAGAAACGTGGGTGTAGTCGCTGTGATTCCAAATCATACTGCAATGCTGGCAAAATGCATGACATGTATGTGTTCCATTCATTTTTAGTGGCACCAAAATGTAGTGCGATTGTTAAGCAATTTACCGCACAACAAACACTCCAAAACCACACCATGTTTGTGGTGCCACTAAAAATGAAAGGAGCACGTCACGTGTGGCGTTTTGCCAGCATTGCAGTGCGATTTGGAATTGTGGGCAGAATCACAGCGATACTGCCCTTAATCCAAAATCGCTAAATGTGAACAGGGCCTTAGTGCAAGGCTGCGCTGAGTTTTCCATTGCTGAAGATACTGTTGCATTCTAATGTGAACCTAGGCTAATGGTACCTCCACTAAGCAGCAGCCTGTTTTTCTTTGCAGGTGCAGGAAGGTGTGTTTCTTGCTGTGAAGGCCAGTTATAGATTGGGGCGGTGTCCAGTTTTTTGTACTGTTGAATCGTTGGTGAGGGGTCGCACTGGACACCTTAGCTGCCATTGTGCTACATGCTGGGTGTCCGGTGCGCTCCTGTACCTTTTTGAGGGGTGGGCTCCCTCAGGTCCATCTGCCCTTGGTCTATCCATTAAATACATGTGCCTCTGCTATGGGGGCTCTTAAATTTGTAGAGTTAAGACTACAGAATATTGGGGGGGTAATGTGGCTTACGCATATTTATGCAAATGCGTGCTAACTAAACCTGTTTTTAATGCATACTGTTAGACAGGTTAATTTGGTTTGTTTGCTGGCTGGCTAGTTAGAGCTGGGGATTTTTTATTTTCTTGTTTGATGTGTGATTACACACCTTTCCGCACCCACTCAGATGTGAAGCAATAACATTCTGTGATTACTTTAAATATTTTTTTTTTTTTTTTTTAATTCATGCAGTGGGGCTGTGCCCACAATGCACAGGTTAACTGCTCGTTTTTGTCTAGGATTGCAGAGCAGAGATATACCTAATCCTCCCAGTCCAAGACCAGTCCCTGCCTCTTGCAGTCTATTGGTCTTGTGCAGTGGACCGTTGCAGATGTCTTCACACCCATAGACCGGTTCTGGACGTCAGGATGGCAGGATTAGTCCACCGCTGAACATGGCCATTTTCCATAGGATCAAAGGATGGGTGAGTATAAGCTCTGCATTCACCCTTGAAAAATGAAGCAGTTAACTCATGCAGTGTGGGCACAACGCCACTGTATGGGGCAAAAGAAATGTCCTGGATTGTGGACTGGGTAAAGACCTGTGTGCTAGGTGTAATTCTCCTTATCTGTCCTTATTCTGTGTATGGACTTTGCGTAGTCCCACGTCTTCTGTCCTGGATGCTGGGTGTAATTCTCAGTATCTGTCCTTATTCTGTATGTATGGACTCTGCACAGTCCCACGTCTCCTGTCCTGGATGCTGGGTGTAATTCTCAGTATCTGTCCTTATTCTGTATGTATGGACTCTGCACAGTCCCACGTCTCCTGTCCTGGATGCTGGGTGTAATTCTCAGTATCTGTCCTTATTCTGTATGTATGGACTCTGCAGTCCCACGTCCCACGTCTCCTGTCCTGGAGTCCCACGTCTCCTGTCCCGGGTGTAATTCTCAGTATCTGTCCTTATTCTGTATGTATGGACTCTGCACAGTCCCACGTCTCCTGGATGCCGGGTGTAATTCTCAGTATCTGTCCTTATTCTGTATGTATGGACTCTGCACAGTCCCACGTCTCCTGTCCTGGATGCTGGGTGTAATTCTCAGTATCTGTCCTTATTCTGTATGTATGGACTCTGTGCAGTCCCACGTCTCCTGTCCTGGATGCTGGGTGTAATTCTCAGTATCTGTCCTTATTCTGTATGTATGGACTCTGCGCAGTCCCACGTCTCCTGTCCTGGATGCCGGGTGTAATTCTCAGTATCTGTCTTTATTCTGTACGTATGGCCTCTGCGCAGTAACACGTCTTCTGTCCTGTATGCCACGTTCATAAAATCTGAAAGGAAATTGTATTTTCTCAATTCCTCTTGAAAATTAAAGTGATTGCTTACTGTGGGCAACACATTTAATTTTTTCTTTTTCCAATGTTTATAAATTTGGCGCAATTTGTTATTTAAAAACTTTTACTTGGTACCTGTTGCTGAACCCCTTCCCCAGAACAATAAATGATCTACGGCCCTGCCTAAACACCGGGGAAAGGATCCTGAAAATATAACATTTTTACATTTTTTTTTTTTTTTTTTTTTTATTTCAGGTACTTGTATAGCACCGTCCATTTACTCAGCACTTTACATATATATTTTACATTCACATCAGTCCCTTACCCTCCAGGGGCGCACAATCTTTTACCTTTGTATATATTAAGTGGTTGGTAAACAGCAGCAAAAGGAGTGTGCTGTCTCAGAAAATTATATAAAATTAATTTGGGTACATTGTTGCACGATGGAACAATTGTCCAATTATCACGGTGCTGAAAACTGGCCCATTAAGTAAAGATTCCAGCAACCGTTTTGCTGCTCATTAGTGGGGAAGTAATAGATATTTGCTGTTCAGCAGCAAATGCAACAGGAAGTGTCAGTGAAACCGAAGTTTGCAGTTAACTTTTAGCTGTGGTTAAAAGCTTGTGGCCCAAGTTTTATTGGTAGCAGTTGATGATTGTGAACCTCTTCACGCCGAACGTAAGCAAATCTGCGACCTCTCGGCAACTGGGCCTTGATGCTGAGCAGCCGCATATTTGTGTATTATTTGTAAACAAGTGGTGAGAGCGTGCTCCCTGCGCGCCCCCAGCACGTGTCGGCGTCCCATGGAAAGGTCCCGATCCTTCCTTGCGATCGGAACCTGTCCGATTATGTGATCGGCGGTCACTTGACCTTAAACCCCGCCCCCATCTCCCAGCGTCAAACTCCTTAAAGGGCCGAGAGGTGCTGATGTGAAGGGGTTAAAGTATATCTAAAGGGGTGTCTAGTTGCTGTGCGCCTAGGAGGGACAGGCGCAGCGTCCAGCCCCGCTGACTGCAGAGTTTCATAGTCTTTGGCAGGCTGTTTGGACAGGACTGATTGCTGTACTGAGTGGTACTTGCATTTGTGGCCCTATGCATTGAGGAAAGAATGCACATTATGTCCAGCCCCATCCAACTGCAGCCTGCCATAGACTTTGAAATACTGCTAGTGGTATTGGATGCTGTACATGTTCCCTGAGGCACTAAAATGCTGAGAGGGATGCACTGCAGCTAGATTTCCAAATTTGTAAGGTGGACTTTGACAGCTATCACAAGAACTGTCCCCAATGGAAGATTGGAAATTGGTTCATGTGCTGGTGGCCACTCAAAATTTTTGGATTCATAATCTTTCATTCCTGGTGACATTTACTGTCACTTTCATTCTTTGACATAGGTGATTAGGACTGTTAGACTTGCTTAATTGCATTAACATTGAGCGTTTGAGGTGGGGTGTTTTGTGGTTTTTTTTTTTTTTTTTTTTTTAAGCTCCCCATCTGCCTTCTGCATTTACAGGCACTTAGAATGGAGCTCCACCCAGAAAGGGAAGTTCCACTTTAAGCACTTGTCCCTCATTCCCCATGAAGAATTGGCACCTTTGGGGAGCTGGTACCCGCTCCCACGTCCGCTCCAACCACCTAGGCGATCAAAAGTGGGCGTTCTTCTTAAATCCAATGCTGTTACATCCCATCCCGCCCCCCTACCCCTCTGCAGTTTTTAAGGACACATGACAGATCCCAGAACACTGTGAGGCTGTTGACAATGTGCAGTTCTGCTCGCGCATGCGTAGTGGGCACTCTACTGTGAAGCTGCAAGCTGTCACAGCCAGGTGCCCACACTTAAGATGCCAGGGACGGAGCACAGTTGGTGAATCTGGCTGCAGTGAGGACACCACTGAATACTGAGGTGAGTGGTTAAGTCAGCAGCTACAGTTTTTCAGAATAGACTGGAGCTCTGCTTTAACTTCCTTTCGATTCTCATATAGCGCCAATAATTTGTTATATTTTAAAGTGTATCTGTGGTCAAAATGTCAAATCGTATGCATTTTCTCTTTTTGGATTTCAGTGATTTCTAGCCTACTCCTAATAATTGGAACAATCTCGAAGTTTGTAAACTTACTTTGTGAAGATCCCCACACATTTACTTCTTGAATTCTGAAACACATGTTCACTATGCCCTGTGCATATGCTCAGCTGTGTCACACATTTCACAGAGCCTAAAAGTCCATGTGCTGAAAACATAATTAAATTGTTGAAATAAAAGTGCAAACTTCTTTTCTTCAGAAAATACTTTCACCTTCCACCCGTGCACAAACCAACATCGAATACACTCACCAGAACTTGGTGAGTAAAGGACCTTTAAGGAATTTTTAGGGATCCTAAACCCTCTTTGGTGCCACGCTAGGGAAAATCTTCACCCTCCGAATAGACTCCACCATCCAACCAAAAGAAAAAAACTCACATAGCATAATATTGTCACACAATAGTAACTTTTTCCAAATGGAGATTAAGGCCACTCACATGTTAAACACTTGCTAAAGGCATGTTTATTATGTATAAAAGGCTTCAGTTCCAGCAGATATACAAACTTTTCCTTCCAGGACTCTCACATCCACAGTGGAACAAAGACAGGACTCCTCTTAGACCAAACAGTGAACCAAGATGGCCGCTGGAACGCACCGCTCAGCGTGCGTTCCACTCACCGGAAATGACGTCAGGCGCATGGAGTGTGGACCGGAAATGCGTCAACGCGTTTCGCCCCTCCCATAGGGCGTTATCAAGACACCCATCTCCCGTCCTCACTCACTTAAATATCAATGGAATACCCTCCCCTCCGATTTAATTGGTCAGACCACCTCCCAGGATAATTTCAGAGGCTGCTCCTCCCACTCCAAGACGTGAGAGACCTTTACAAAAATGCCGATCCACATAGCCACATAATGAATTCTGACAATTAATATAAACAATTCCAATAAAAACAATATCTTTATAGTTTAATATAATTCATATTAAAAAATGTATATCTATCTAAAAACAGATTGCAAAATAAAAATAAAAATATAAAAATAAAAATGAAATAAAACTAAAAATAAAAATAAAACTAAAATAAAAATAAAACTAAAACTAAAACTAAAATAAAACTAAAATAAAAATAAAACTAAAATAAAAATAAAACTAAAATAAAAATAAAACTAAAATAAAAATAAAACTAAAATAAAAATAAAACTAAATAAAAAAAAAATAAAATAAAAAAAAATAAAACTAAAACTAAAACTAAAATAAAACTAAAACTAAAATAAAACTAAAACTAAAATAAAACTAAAACTAAAATAAAAATAAAACTAAAATAAAAATAAAACTAAAATAAAAATAAAACTAAAATAAAAATAAAACTAAAAAAAAAAACTAAAATAAAAAAAAAACTAAAATAAAAAAAAAAACTAAAATAAAAAAAAAACTAAAATAAAAAAAAACTAAAATAAAAAAAAAACTAAAATAAAAAAAAAAAAACTAAAAAAAAAAAAAAATAAAATAAAAAAAAAAACTAAAATAAAAATAAAACTAAAATAAAACTAAAACTAAAATAAAACTAAAACTAAAATAAAACTAAAATAAAAATAAAACTAAAATAAAAATGAAACTAAAATAAAAATGAAACTAAAATAAAAATGAAACTAAAATAAAAATGAAACTAAAATAAAAATGAAACTAAAATAAATAAAAATAAAAAGTATATAGCAGTCTTTAAACACTAAATCTTCTACTCTTACCAATCTGACAGGAAACAGTTGATATCTATATCTGAATTTAACCCCCTGGGATTTGGAGGTCCCCCATGGAGAGGGGGAAATATAAGGGGAAATTTCAATTGGAGAGGAAGAGGGGGCCCTTATTACCCACCCAGAGGGGGGAGGGGGGGATGGAGACCACCTCCCAAATTTTCAAAACTTTCAGAACCCAAATTACCAGGACCCTTATTGGGGACAAAGAGAGAGAGAGGGTGTAGAGGAGGTAAAAGGAAAAGGTCAATGTGAATATAGGGATTTTCAATCTAAGTGATTATGTTTTAAATGAGGAGGAATTAAAAGTTTTAGCATTAGGCTTGAAATTTGCACCAGATAGGAAATTAAATAAAGTTGAGACCTATATAGACCTGCAAAAGTTTATTAGAAAATTAAATTTAAAAAAATATTGGAGTAAAAATAAAGATCAGATGGGAAAGGATTTCCATAACGAAAAAAAGAAAATAATTGATGGGAAAAAAATTGACAAGAAGAATGAAGGTCCGTATAGGCATACTGATTTAAGAAATAAATCTGTATTCAACCCTAGGGTGGGGAATAATTGTTGTATAGATGCATTTAAGAGGATGGTGGAATATGACTTGGAGTTATTAGCCCTTCCGAATAAGAGAACTAAGCATGATTTAGTAAGAGGTATCCAGCAACTAGAGAAGAATAATGATATTGTAATAAGAGCAGCGGACAAAGGGGGAGGCGTTGTAGTGTTGAATAAGAAGGATTACTATGAGGAACTCAATAGATTGGTGGGTGATAGGAG